TGTTCTGCTTTACTCCTTTTAATATTTATTGTTATTCTGTTTATTTTCAGATGTTCTTTTGCTTATGCTGCCTCATTATTCATATTTTCTTTTAATTTTTTGTTAAATTTTGGCAATACTCGTGTTTGTCTAGTAAGTAATGTCTTGGTTTCCTCAGAGACAGTTTTAGCTTAATACTTTCTTTTTTCTTTGTATGCAGTATAGCTTTATTCAAAGATTAGATACCTTGAATATCATATTATGTTAATACAGGAAATGGAGTGGTTCTTCTTCAAATGGATTTTTTCTTTTTACTACTTGCAGTAGACTGTAACTCTTGTTTTCTTAATGACTAAGTCTTTCAAAAATATGTATTCTTTGTAATGTGTAGCCAGTGAAGATTCTTCCTTTCACTTGTGCTTTTAGTGTTTTGGAAGAGATTTTAAACACCATGAACCAAAATAAATTGGTAAACAAACAGATATATGGTCTATGTGCGTATATGTGTTTGTGCATGTATGATGTGGAAAATACTTCCCAACTTTGTACAGTAACTGTGGTGATGGACTCCCGCTGTGCTTTTAGGTTTTGCTGTCTTCTTGCTCTGAGACTATAGATCCAGAGGAGAACATTTAGAATCTTCTCAGTCTTTCTCAGTATGTCTCCTGCCTCAATCATTTGTATGGATTTCTAACTTTCTGTTATACACAGGCACTTTCCAATGACCTAATTTCCCAAAATATTTCTCTCAAGTTTTTACATCTAAGCTTTTAGTGCTCTACTGTTTGTCTCAATTGTAATCTTTTGCCCCAAGTCACTGGAGTGTGTTCATTTGCTTTTAAGTAGATCAAGAAAAACCTGCTGCTTTTCTGTTCTAAGTTTCAGTTGGGCAAAACAAACCAAATATTTTGTGTCATCAGTCTTTTAGATAGCCACCAGAAGTTTGGAGAGAAAAGCACATTTATGTGAGAATAAAGTCTGGTAGGCTTCTTTAGGAATGAAAAACTAGAACTCCACACGGGGGAGGTGGGCAGTCATCTTCAAGTGCACTAGTGAATTAGTGAACTAGAAAGTGATGTCATAGAAAGCAAGTCAAATGTCATAGTTTAACTGTCATTTTTGAGTTTTCTCTTGAGTTAGCAATCACTTGGTTGCTATAAACCTTGACTGCTTACTAGAGTTCTGGGCAGATTCTTAAAGCTTATGTTGGTTTTTCATGTGTCTGAGAAGATAAAGCACGAGGGTGGAGTTAATATTTCTGCTGTTTTCACTGATACTGCTCCCATTTGGGTCACTTTTATTATATCCTTTATGTTTCTCTTCTTAATACTTTCTATAATTTTTTTTAAGATTTATTTATTTATGCTTACAGAACTGGGGTACAGGTGAGAGGTGTGGTGGGTGAGAGGATTCACCAGAGACAGAGTGGGGAACAGAATAGGCAGATCTACTGAAATACACTGCTGGGGGGAGCAGCGGGCAGGTCAGGAGAAGTCTGCCACGCCACGTGGGTTAGCTCCCTGGCCGGGTATTGAACTCATGCTGCAGTAGCTTTGGAGAGCTTCATAGTGTGGTGTTTAAGCCACTGTACCACCAGGGAGAGCTCTCTTTCTATAAATTATTTTTTAAAGAACTTTTGTAAATTAATTACACTAACCCTTATCTATATTATTTCCATGTCTTTTTCTATTAACTGACTTTTCTCTTGCTTGTGGAAAAACATGTGTTGTCCTTGCATGTAGAGTGATGATCTACTCTAGATAAACCACTCATGTCACAATGTTGCACCTTTGGGTTAATAGTTTTACTTTAATTAATGTTGAAATTTATGTTGTGAGACAATTTAGATATTGCTAATAAGTTGAGTCTTCAAAACTTTTTCTCATATAATTTTACAATTAAGCTCTAGGATAGTCTTTACTACAGAAAAATGTTTAAGCTTGATGTTGGTTCATGATGCTTCAGCTTCTCTAATGTATGCAAAAGGAAATCTCTTTTCTGACTAGTTGGATTTGGAGCTTCTACCACATGTCTGTCCTTTGAGAAATTTTCACAGTTTCTCTGCTGATACTTTCTTGGCTTTGTTAAGTTCTTCTGTATACTTTGTTTTTCAGCCAAACTGTCAAGAACTTTCCGTTGAAGATTTATGCAACTTTTGTGTCTGTTTAACAAATCTGTTCTTGTGAGCTGTATACTAACATGTCTGAAGCCTTCACTTCACCAAACTCTTGATAGCTGTCTCCTCAACACACTTAGATGACTTTACCTGAATGTGGTATAACAGTGACCTGAGGTGAAATGTGTTACAAGTGCAAGGCTCCCCTCATTTGCCTCTCCTCTAACAGGTATCACATTGCTGGGCTACCTATACTTTAGCGTCTCAATATATATTAAGAAATATATTTTACATGTTTTTCTAGTTATTTATGGTAAGCACTGAACTCCGGTCTCAGTTTTTTTTTTCTTTGTTTACTGACATTATCAATAATATTTTCCTGAAGCTATTTGGAGATGATTGAATTTTTTAAATATTTAAAATATAAAGTTTGAATTCTCAAACTTTACATAATTTCAATTTCATTGAGTTATTAATAACATTTTTATTGTTTTGGAATTTATTCATTTCTAGAAAGTATACGTAATCAGCTTTTATATATCATATTTAGAAACAGGATACTGTATTTTGTATTACAAAAATTTTATTTTTATTTATTTTTTAAGATTTATTTATTTATGCATACAAGACCTGGGGTACAGGACAGAGAAGTGGAGGTGAGAGGATTCACCAGAGACAGAGTGGGGATCAGAAAGGTAGATCTACTGAAACACTCTTGAGGGGAGCAGCAGGTGAGACAGGTGAGGACTTGTGCCATGTGGGTCAGCTCCCTGGCCAGGGATCAGACTCATGCTGCAGTGGCTACAAAGAGCTTCATAGTACTGTGTTTTAACCATTTGCACCACCATGGAGGCACCTCATTTAATTTATTACTTATAAGTTTTACAAAAAGGCAGAACTGGTTATAATATGGAAACTTTGATTTCCTATGTGGTATAACTCAAAATTCCATAAATTTAAACTGGATTTATTGAAAGAGAACATCCAAGTTTCAAATATCCTAAATCAATATGTAATCCTTCAGTCAAGTGAACAGTTCTACTTTATTATTTACAAATGAAAATGGAAATAGCTTAGACCAGCCTTGGTGGTGTAACAGGTTTAAGCACAGCACTACCAAGCTAGCTGCAGCCACTTCAGCATGAGTTTGATCCCAGGTCACAAAGGCACAGCAGACCTCTTCTGACACACCTGCTGCTCTTCTCAGCAGTGTACTTCATCAGTTTGCTTGTTTTGTTCCCACTCTGTCTCTGGTGAATTCTCTTACTGCTCTTGCATTGCCAGCCTGTACCCCAGTTCTGTATGCATAAATAAAACTTAAGAAAAAAAGAAAATGGAAATCTCTCATGAAAACATAATTTTTTTCTACTTCTAATGCTCGCATGCATGAAAACTTAAGTCATTCATTGCGGAATATGTCATCAGACTCACTAGTGTTGTCTGTTTCCAACAAGCCAATAGTTTTTCTTAACCTTATCAATCTCATTATACACATAATAAACATAATATGTCTATACATTTTCTTATTCATTTATATAGAAGACATTTTGTCAATATAATCTACAGAACTCTACTTTTGAAACATACCTGTGTCTTAAAGTCTTATTCTTGACATCACCTGGAATGTGCCATCCTCCTGAATCCCCTTTGGTTCTTTTTTCTCCACCTTCATGAATTTTTGGCCATCCTGCCAGTTTCTTCACTATGCCAGGTTTATTGTATCCTTCATGATCTATACCTGCTTTTGCTCTTCCTTTTTTACATAAATCTGGATTTCTTTTCAGTTAGGTTTCATTAAATGTCTCTTCTTCAAAGAGATCTAGCAAGTCACCCTCAATCCACTGACAAAATATGCCTCACATCTTTAAAGCATTACCTAATTATCATTCTTATTTATTAAATGACTTCTGTAATATATGCCAGTCAGTCATCCATCAAATGTAATTAAAAGCCTAGTCCATCATATTCATATGATATTTCAGCAAGTAAAGGAACACCCAGCACCCTGTCCATCATAACCATAAGCTGAGAAATGAATTAATGCATATAATTCTGCAAGCAGTGCATTATCTTCTTTAATGTATAAGAGTTTCTTGGGATACTAAAGTTTTTTCCTCTTTTCTTGATTCAAAATGTATGAGGAAAAAGTTAAAAACAGAGAACTTACACCCTGAATTAAATACCAACTAAAAAATTACACAGAAAGTTTTAAATACTGCACATATATCTGGATACAGAAAAAGTGATGGATTTTAGGTAAGATTATATAAATATGATACATTCATCTAGATAGTCCTAGTCTAATGCTCTTATCACCAGGCTACACACCAGGGCCTTATTGCATTAGCGCTATGTGGGCGCTTCCTCACTGAATTCATGTTTGATATCACATTGCCTTTTAATAAGCCCTTAAAAAAATGGAAAAGTACTTTTATTGTACATTGTAGTCATTGTTTTGTCACACTGTTTATTATGTCCTATGCAGTGTCCATAAGAAAAATAAACCATTAAAGTAAGATAAACAAGAGAAAACACTTTTCTAAATTATAGTAATATGGTATTTTTTTAATCTGATGTGACAGTCTAATGCATCATGATTTCATTTTTCTAAAATGGCCTAGTTCACAAAACTAAATGGAAATATTGTTATTTAATCCCAGGTTGGAATTACACATTAAAATCTGAGATTTTTATACCTACATATTTGTTGTTTTACATTTTAAAGATATTCTGTGTATTTGTATTAGTAATCTCCATATAAAATTTCAAATGTTTATTCAGTATTTTATCTGTATAATACCTGTATAAAACGACATCTATATTTTCACCTCACTTAAAATTATTTTTAGTCAGGATATAAACAGAATATACATATATGCATAAGTTATTCTTCAATTCATATTATTTATGAAGATGGGTTTCTCTTTAAGAGCTTTTTCACAGCATTTTGGACTTCCTTATTCCTCAGACTATAAATCAGTGGGTTCAGCATGGGAATCATCATGGTGTAAAATACAGATGTCACTTTCTCCTGGATGGCTGAACTGCTGGCAGCAGGTTTGAGATATGTGGAAATGAGAGATCCATAGAAAATAAGAACAGCTGTCAAGTGGGAGCCACAGGTGTTGAACGTTTTGGCCCGACCTTCTTTAGACTGGATGCGGAGGATGCTGGAGATGATGAAAGCGTATGAAGTGACGATTGTTACGCTGGGGGTTACCATGTTAAATCCACCAACAACATAAATCAAAATTTCATCAATATACGTGCTGGAACAGGAGAGTTTTATAAGTGGCATGATGTCACAGAAGTAATGTTTAATGATATTGGGTCCACAGTAATCCAAAGGTATCAAGCAACCATCAAAAAGCATAGCAAAGAAAAGACCTACTGAGAAGACACCAGCCACCAGCAGAGAACAGACCCGAGGGGACATGATGACATTGTAGAGCAGGGGGCGGCAGATGGCGACATAGCGATCATAGGCCATGGCGGCCAACATGTAGCACTCACAAACAGCAAACATACAAAAAAAAAAGAACTGACTCATGCATCCGGAATAAGAGATATATTTATCTCTGCTTAAAATCATTGCCAGTGTCTTTGGGATAATGACAGAAGAATAGCAGAAATCTATAAAAGATAAGCTGCTGAGGAAATAGTACATGGGAATGTGAAGTTGAGAACTCAGCACAATTGTTGAGATCATGCCAAGATTCCCCACCACTGTAACTATATAAATCCCCAAGAAGAGGAAGAAAAGGGGCAGCTGAAGCTCTGGTTGGTCAGTTAATCCTGAAAGAAAAAACCCATTCACTCTGGACTCATTTCTTATACCCATTCTCCTGGTGAAATCTGTGGAGACCAAAGAGGAAATAATCTGATTAAACAGGCAGAGACCCAGCTCCCCTCCCATTCTTGAATTTAGGTTTTATACTCCCTTTGCACCTGTTCTGTGCCTCCAGTGAGGACAGATACTCACCCTCCAGAAAGTCAGCAGTCAGATTAAACAGTCAGAAAGCTTCTAGCTACCTGTAGATGGAGGAACCATGCATAAACTTTCATATGCAGGCCAGTGTCTCAGATTATTTTAACTAAGTATAAAACCTTTGAATCCACTATTAGAAACCCTGAGGCATTTCCGAAGCAAATCATCTGAGGAGGGGCAAAAGAAAGGGCTGTAGACTGAGAAAATACCTCTGCTGAGGGCATGCCTATACTGGCCTAATTGCAGTATTTTCACAGAGAGGCTGTTTCTTGTTAAGGCCTTTGATGCTTTCTGTGTTAGATTTCCAAGTGTGTTCAGCAGGGTGTTAATTCTGGAGCTATCATAATCAGTGTACATGAAGTAAGTGTCCCAACATCCTATGAGTTCAGGTATTATACAGAATTAAACCTTTCTTAACCGGAGGATATTTCAGAGACTAGTGACAACTATAGAACACACAGTAATTTCAAACTTAAAAACAAAATGTCTTATAGCGTTATATTGCTCTGTACTGTTAAGAGAACTGAGCTTTCATACTGAATGTCTCTAGTTTAATCCTAAACCTTCGGCCTGGTCAGAAGTTCGTTCCTGCGCTTTAGCAGCTGGTGGCAGAGTGGTGGCCTCCCAGCCTGTTTCTGCTCTCTGAGTCTGACAGCTTTCTGGGCCACTTGACTTCTCTCAGGAAGCCTCTGAGGGCTTTAACGCCCTTCTGCTAGTGCTGCCACTTTGAGCAAAGCAGGTATCCCAGTTGTTTGTGTTTCCACTGTAGGGGTTTCATGGCACCTGGTTTCACCCAGAATTCTCTAGTTTGGGCAGAGATGCCATTTGTGGGGCTGTCTGTTCTGGGGTCACTCACGTTACGATTTCTGAAAAGCGGACCTATTTCTTTTTCCCAGTGATAGACACTCCTGAGTCCTCTCTGGTCTTCTGTATCTCTCTCTTTCCTTGTTTACCCAGTGATTATGAAAAGCCCCACTTAGATCAGTTCATGTCTTCCTTCTTCCAGTCTGTTTCAGTTACTGTTCTATGGGACAGACTTCCTCTGGGCCACTTGAGTTCCTTACGATGCTGGTGCTTCCTCCTGATTTTCCCAGGTCAGTTTAAACAAGGAATCTTCCTAACACAGCACATGTCTTTGAGCAAGTTTCAGTTTTCTATGGAACTCTTCATTCTTCTCCTATATGCTCTTTTTTTTTTTTCCTTATCCTGAGGGATGAAGCTAAAAGAATCATGTGCAAAAGAACGAGAACTCCCTCGTGCTATGTTAGTGTCTTACTCTGGAGCCCCATTTTCTCCATCCAAACAGCATGCATAGGTGCTGTCTGGTCAAATAGACTACACAGAGGAGTAAGCAAGGAGATTTTCAAGAAGACAGTGTACTTACCATTAATCTGTTTCCTCTTGCTTTCAGAGTGTCCTTAGTGCTGCAGACAGTATCTGCTCTCAGCACGTGTCTAATTCCACGCATTTTCCTTTTTTTTTTTAATCCCATGCCCTGCACCTGTCTGACTTCTATCCAAGTCAGTTTCTTCTTTTTCCTGCTCCCTGTACAAGCCTGTGGTACGTGCTTGCTACTTAACACATAGTGCACCAACTGTCCCCACCGCCATCACTGGGAGGATGTGAAATGCAGGATGTTATGGCTTAACCCACAGCACGGAATCAATCTGCATAACAATCTCTGGATATGATGTGTGTGCACATAGAGTGTGAGAAGCACTGTTTGTCCTATTCTCCTTTAGAGTTGAAATCTTTGTTTTGTTTTGTACTTTGAAATTCTCTTTGCATTCTCTGTGCCTGACAGCACCACTTGAGTATTTTTTTGTACCTTTTTCCATCTCAGTTGTAATCCTCATGGGCGTCCCATCACCAAATCACCCGTGTGCCATCATCATAGTCCAGTGCACTCCTCCTCCCTTTTTGATCCCATTCCCCACTCTCCACCTCTGTAAAATGTGTCTGCTATATAGTTGTACATCACTATTATTATTTTCTCCCCTGGTCCTTTATGTGAGTATTTAAAATCATCTTTGAAAACATTTTGGTAAGAGGAAACTTCTTGAATGATTCTGTACATTTTCTAATGAACTACAAAATTTTAAAGTAATTTGACATCTATATGTAGGCTTGAGATGCCTGTCCTTATAAAACAAATATTAATATACAAATATTAATATACTTTTTATTCTCCATAAAAAGTGAGCATTGATAACTAGTATATACTTTATTTTACTGTCTGCTAAACAGTGATTTCCTCTGGGTTAGAACGAATAATAATAAACATTGCACTGTTTTACTTATTCCAGTCCTCATGTAATTCTTACAAATCAAGACTTAGCAGTTTGAAATGTGTTTTTAAATATTTCAATATACCAGAAACTATTATTTATTAAGGTGGTAACAGGTAAGGCTATTACAAAGGTGGGATCTCATGCAGTATTGCCAAATAGAAATTTAAGACACATTAATCTGTAATTTCAATGATTCTAGAAGCCCACTTTAAAAAAAAAAAGTAAAACAAACTACTAACGTCAGTTTTAATGCAATAGTTTGTTTATCTTATCTGAGTCATTTCAACAAATAATGATATAAAAATTATGACTATGCAATTTAAATTCTGCTTTGACTACATATTTTGGAATTCATAGTGAATTTTATGCTACAGAATTTTCCACATCAAAAGACCCACAGTTCTGTGCTGAGTAGCACATGCTACATAAATGACTACAATTTGAGCAGCATGGGTATGGAAAATATTTTTTCCCACATTTTGCTTGGTCAAATCTAAATTTCCTTTTCTATTGAGGAAAAATACAATATAGAAGTATGAGAAAGAACATGAACTAGATATATTTAGTTTCAGGAGCAATTAAGACTTGCAGTACAGCACATTTGACTCAACAGAGTGTCTCTCTGAGCTTCCTATCGATCAGTAAAAAAATGAACACTTCAAAGCCTTATTGTACAAGTTAAAGAAGAAAGTTTGTAAACACAACTTTTGCATTGCAAGGTCTGCATGAATATATTTCAGTGATATAATTTGGGAGCTGGTGATTTCACAGATTAATTCACCTATCAGCTTGTAGGGCCTTTAGGCAAGGTGAGTGGACAACACACTGAGTCCAGGTGACGTCCCTCTAGACCAAAGCTCAGTGACCTCCAGACACCAGAAACTTTGTGCTCTGTGGACAATCAAAGCTGATTTTAGAGTCTGTTTTAACACCTCCACAGTATGGGCATCATACCTCTGAAACTCACCTTCTCCTTCTGAAGATTTAACTGAGTGTCGCTTCTCCTAACCTCATCACATTAGGAATTAAGATGGATTAATTAAACCATTTTATCCTTCAGCGGCTAAACAACCACAGCTAACAAGAAATCAGTTTTAAGTGCAAATGTGACTACCCTTCTCAGTTCAAGTATTTTATTTCTGGTAATATTAAGACAAATAGTTCCCAAGGGCTTCTTATCTCCCGAGGTTTAGCGACCTGTATTGTGTAACAAGTGTCATTTAGATGGCCTTTCAAACTCTTTTTTGTAATGAAACCTGACCTTGTAATATGGTCCAGAGTAGTACAATTAGATTGTCCAACATTAGAATACATTTAGATTGCAATGATAACAAGACTAAATGATATAGAGAATATAATTTTCTCACAGAGAGTATTAAAAATGGAGGTGGTTATCCAAATACATATTTTTTTTATAACACTAACTATGGACTCTTTTATTTACCCATCAGTTATATTTTGAACACCTTTTGTAATTGGGAAACTGAGAGGGGAATCCACATTAGCCCCTCAAAACATTGCAACCTAACAGGCAGAGTATTACCCAATAACGTCTCAAGAAACTGTTTAATAACTGAGCATGAGGAACTGTGTGTGCTCAGAATTGGAGCACATCACTACTCTCCATGGTGAGAAAGATATTCTATATTATGGGTAGAATTTATTGATTAATTTATGAAATATAAACGGACATCAGAGGTAGGAAAAATTCACTGAAGCTAAGAGGATACAAAGAGATATTAAATATATTGGTATGGTCACCACCTATGGGTCCAGATTCCCCATCCCAGCACTCAATAGTCCAGATGCTGCTTAGCATCTGCAGTCAGACCTGATAGTGCCTGTTCAGTGTGTTTTGGCTGCAGACCACGCTTATCTATCAGCCAGAACACCCTTTGTCTTTCCTATCTGGAGAAGATCTAAAAGTGGGTGACACAAGAAAGAATTATAGAGTCAGGTGAGGTACTACGAGTCATGGATAGTTAGAGGGATGGTATCATTGTTGTTTCATTTTTTTCCTGGCTGTTGAACTCCTATTAAGCTTTGGCCTTCGTTGGTGTATTTCCTTAGAAGGGGAAGAAGCACAGGGTCCACATCCTGCCTCCTTGCACTGTGGCTCTTACTACATTAGTACTAGTGAGAGTTGCTGCTCCATGTGCCAGCTCCCACCTGGCACCTCTGGCCTTTGTTCCTTTTCTGTCCAGCAGTAGGACTTTAACCTTAATGGAGCCCAGGATCTGTGCAGAAAGGGCACATAGCCTAAGTGTGTTCCCTGGGTAGTAGTTCTTTAGAAATCTATCTAATGGATGCTTATGTACACTAGTATCTTAAATAAATTTCTACTAAAATGAATAATTTCTGTTGTAGGTATTTGCATACAATGAATAGGCAAAGGGACATGACATGACTGGGAGTAAAATGTCTTCTCAGATATCTCTGAGAAACATCTTCTTCATGCTGTTCTTAGATTTCACATCTCGGTGAGGATGGACACAGCTTATTATATGGGGCCAGATGCATCAAATGAAATTTCTCATTTGTCTCCATTAGTCCTTCAAGAATTCCTGGTCTTATTGATACAGAGACTTGGGCATGGTCCTGATGATCTCACCTGACTTGTCCAGAATGTTCTGTTCTGTCCCTCTGCCTGTAGCCATCCCCACACAATGGGGAGAAAAGGTGACCAGCATTGATATGTGTTGTGCGCTGACCTAGGCACTGTGTAAACTTGATCCTGTTGCTAGTAGAAAGTACTCAGTGAAGAGAACACTTAGCTCCATTTTCCTGTGAGACCAGTGGAGTTTAGAGTAATGATGACATGTGTGCAAAGTCACACATGTACTAAGAGGCAGAGTCAGGGAAGAAAGCCAGGGACGCATCACCATAGAGCCCATGCTTTTTTGCTCTACGAGGAAAGAATGTAGGGCAATGACAGCTTACACTGAGAGTCATAAAGTGAGCTTTTAGGACCCTCCTAGGTGATTTGGTATACCTCACTAATATGGGAACAAACACAGATGCTGGAGTGGAGTCTACCCGGTAATAAAGCCAATACTCTGACAATTTAATACAGAGTAGTCTTTTATCTCTGACCATTGCCAAAATTACATATCTGACTCAAAATTTCAAATATATATTCAGTTGATTCTTGAAGGAAGCCCAGAAGTAAATATTCAGAACCTCCATACTAGTGGGCTCCTGTTCACAGTGGAAGCAGCTGAGGACAAAGAACACAAACTCACAACTAGGCCCACATTGTGTCCTGCTTTCTGGACTCTCACTGGAAGTGAGTCTTTTAATGGTACTGTGCTGAGAAATCACCTAGAGGCCCAGTAAAAGTGGACTCACTCCACCCTCTGGAGTTCTGATTTGGAAGGTCTAGGGTTGGATAGAGGGATCTTTAATTTCACAAACATTCCACATAATCACAATGCTCAGGGCTAATATGTAGAAAAATGCCCTCACCCAGTTCTGCGCATCAGGGAACCCATCCTGAAAGCCCACACACACACTTCAGGAAAGATCCTCCAGAAGAAGGGAACAGAGAAGCCAGTGGCCTGAAGTAGCTGTGAGGGGAGTATAGCAAAGACCATACAATTGTGCTGTGTAGGTACTGGGCCATACACACCCCCTTTACAGTCTTCGCTTATAGTAGGAGTGTAAGGTATCAGAAAGAAATAAAGCAACTGCAATGAAGTAAAAACAAAAAACAAAGAAACAACTATAAAGCAGAGACATTCTATGGGGGTGGAGAAGGGAATAGCCTCAAAAACGGGGTGGGAAGAGTGCATGGGACTATGATGATAGCCCGTGGGTGATTAGTGGTAAAACTCCATGGGGATGACAACCGAGATGAAAAATGCGCAAAATGAATGTCAAAATAATATGTTAAAAAATAAAAAGACCAACTATGAAGGGAAATGCCCATTCTCTAGATGCCCAGTGTTCACAAAGACGCTCTGTGCCTTTCCCTTCAGCAGGATGTCAGGCATGGCTGCTTCAGCTGAAACAGAGACCCTGATAGTATGTCCTCACAGGTCCCTTGCACAGGAATTGGACTACCAGGTCGGAGTTAAGTGTACATCTTTATTTCCTAAATCTTTCTCATATCTTTTTAGCATATTTTTTAAATTAAAATATTTATGTCTCAAAAATTCTCTCCTACTTTCCATATCCATCATTTTACTAAAATAGCATAATCACCAATAACATCCTTGTTGTCTAAATAAGTGACATATGCTCAATTTTCACCTACTTGTTTTCCTCTGTAGCTCAATTTCTCAATCTCAAAACTCCAGCCTTTTATTTCCTCAGCAACATTTATACTTACTTTTTTAAATCAAGGTATCATTTATTTGTTGGCACAGGCCAAGCATCTCATACCATCTGACAAAGTCCGGGTATGAGGGGGTACCCTGGAAAAGTCAGGGACCCCAAAACTGGTTCCTACTGGATCTCTTTGTTTTGTTTTGGCCACTCCTGTATTTGCAACCATTTTTTTTTTTTTTTGCATTTGGATGCATTTGATAAAGTAAAAATTGATTTTACATTTGGTTGTTTTAATAAAAGCAATTGGCTATTGCTGTAAAGTTAATACAGCAAAATTAGTGCTAAAAACATATTGTGATAACATGTTCCTGCCCAAACCAATAATTCAGACTCCCGCATTCCACTATCTTCCAGATGTGCACACTAAATTAAGCTCCGGAGGAAAAAAACTTTGGGAACCAAAAAGCTTAAGCCTTTGTTGTTTGGCCTTCAACTCTTCTATCTCTCTTAATGTTAGAACTGAGTACAGTAAACTTTTTCATTCCTTACCCTGACCTTGTTTTAAACTTTTTTTTTTTTAGGATGCTTTAATAAAAATGAGGATCCTTAGTAATTAACAATAAAAGAAGCTTTCCTTTTGCTAACCTTTTATTATAATATAAGTAGAAATATTAGTTATAACTATATGAATTAACCTGCCTGTTTTATCATTAGTAAATTGTTTGCCCAGCAGCAAAAAATAATAGCAATAACACTGCTTGTTAGCAGTGTTTTCCTTAAAAAATGAGAAGTGTTATAGACTTGGCTAAAGATCAAAAGACTTCAAGCTGTTCTTAGGAATATGTGACAGTTTTTTTTTTTTTTTACTCAATGCATATGCTGATATAATCCCACTGCTTAAAAACATAAAAATAAAAAAAAGACCTGCTGAGACCAGCAGCAAACGACACTTGCACCTGAATGAGTGTTTGTATCCCTCATTCTCCTTCACCAAAGTGGTCATTTCCTACAGGAACCTCAGTCACCCCAATTGTTGGAGTTGGTCTCCAGCAATTTGTAATATTGTAGATGATTCAGGGGAATAGGTTCTTAGCTCCTTTGATGCATAGCACCAGACATTTACAGCTCTTTACCATCTCACAATTACTTCTTTGTTCTTTCTCATTAATGTTGCTGTTCTCCACAGTTTCCTTTCCTTTTCTTGTCACAGTCTATGCAATATTGATATGACGATAAACTATACACACACTTGTGTTTCCACTACTTCACTAGCTGTCACCCCCAATCTATATACAAGTCCCAGATACAAATACTGCCCATGTTGTTCTGCAGATACCATAAATCTAATCTGAAGGGTCCTTACCAACTTTTTCCTTTCCAGGTGTGTGCTCCCTCCCATAATTTACATTTTTTATTTTTCTTTAAGATTTATTTATGCACCCAGAACTAGGGTACAGGCCAGAGGTGCAGGGGCAGTGAGAAATTCACCAGAGACAGAGCGAGGAGCAGAACAGGCAGATTGATGAAGTACACTGCTGAGAGGAGTAGCAGGGAGACAGGAGAGGCCTGCCATGCCATGTGGGTCACCTTCCGGGTGGGGGATTGAACTTGCACTGAAGCGGCTGCGGCCAGTTTGCAGTGTTGTGTTCTAATCCGTTGTGTTACATTTTATAATAGCCTCATTGACGACTGTCCTTGCTAACTGGAAATTTGATTTCTTCTTTGTCTTGCATTTTACTAATTTCTCATATTCTCTCAGTTTCTCTAATCTGACTGCATCTTTATACCTTTACTATCATTATCCATTAAAACTAAAATGAGTTTTAAATTTTTTAACCCAGCAATTTTATCTCAATGGATCTATTTCACAGAAAGGAAAACATCCATATGGAGTAATGTCATAATATAAGCTAGTGGCTGGCTGGCTGGTTCTCATGGGAGGGCGCCCCCAGGTGCTTTAGCATCTGCCACAAATTTTGGACCTTGCAGCTACTGGCAACATCCTAAATTTTGATTTCTCATTCACTTTCATGATGCCAGTTATCTGGCTATTCATGTCAATGATCTTGTGTTCCTTCTTTTCATGGATACTTTCTTTTCTTTTCTTTTTTAAAGATTTATTTATTTATTCATAGAACTGGGGTATAGGCCAGAGATGTGGAGGGTGAGAGGATTCACTATAGACAGAGTGGGGAGTAGAACAGGCAGACTGATGAAGTACACTGCTGAGGGGAGCAGCGGGTGGGCCAGGGGAGGTCTGCCACGCCATGTGGATCTCCTCCAGGGCAGGTGGGGATCAAACTCATGTGAAAATGACTTAAGCTTCTTAGTGCTGTGCTTTAACCCACTGTGCCACCAGGGAGGGCCACTGATACTTTCTTAATGTCAACTCATCCTGGAACACATAATTCTAAAGTAACACGGATCCCCTTTAGTCATGCATATGTGAGTACTTTCAAGGTGTCGACATATGCCACCATAACTAGGTATTTTCTTTCTGTGAAATTACATCTCCTCTGTATCTGATAGCACACTCAGGAACTTTGGTCCTTCCACTGTACTTGCTTCAAGGTCAAGGGTCAAGCCAGTAGAGGATTCCATGACAGTTAGCAAGCCTAACATCAGACTGGCCCAGTTATAGGAGTCATAAACAGTGAGATTTATTTTCTCTGTTCCATAGGCTATTTCAGCATCTTCCACTGCCTCAACAACCACTAAAAGTCTACACCTTGTCTTTCTTGTGAGGACTAGTCAAATCAGAGAAGAGACGTGAGATACTGACGGTAGTCTCAGCTTGTTGACCCCACTCACAATGCTGCATATGTCAACCAGAAAGATCCAAGCAACTAACCTGTTCTTCTCCTCCTGGGGTTTAGTCTTCTTGACAGTAGGAGTCGTTGTGGAAGAATGGGTTAACTTGAAGTTGGACACACAAAAATTTATAAGTCACAGTCCTTGGATATGTTGCACTGCTCTTTGGCCAGAAGGTCAGAATTATATTAAGGAAAGAGATGGGTCAAGAGGGAGGGTTCATCTTTCTTTGACTTTCACTCATCTCACCATCTTATCCATGAATCTTCAGTGAACCTCCCCAGGCTGTGGAGTGCCCACCTCATAAGTGATAGCCAAGGTTGACTTCAAAAATCTCCCCATTTGTGTCTCTTGGAGAAATGCTTAGAATCTCATCAACTGACATGCTGAACATCTGAGAATCCTTGACAGTACCAGCAGGGTGGCCAGCATACCTAGATGATGAGGGTCTAAAAGAAAAGCCACCACAAAGAAAATAGAGTAGACTGCCAACTAGCATTTAACAAGAAGTGAGTTCTTAGAAAAGTATAGAAGGAAGGGAAATTTACTGAGATATAAGATAGAGAACAGTTTCTTCTGGTTCTCTTTCATATCCAGTTTAGGCTTCCTGACTTTTTAGTCTTCTCTTCCATTTTTATTATTTAATACTATCTTTTACCTCTCCTCCTGCCCCCTGTCCTCCATAGCCATCTCTGGCTCCCATGTGGAAATAAGCCTAGAAGAAATATCTGTCCTCTCAATGCAGCCTGTGCTTTCTAACAGATAAACTGGAAGTGGTCAGGATCATGATGATTTTGGTTCTCAACCTTTCTTTTCTCCATAACTTGTTCCTGGGTTTGGAGTTCACCTATATGATTCCTCAGATGAAATATATCCTCTTCATTCCTGTCATCCTCGGTTTCCTGACAGGTAATTCTGTGGCTCCCTAAAACAGACTTAATAGAGTCCTTTCATTTGTGGGTCTAGGCTGCATTCTCTCACTTGGCCTTCCCAGTCCTGTGGCTCAGGTTTGCAGCTTCCTTGACATATTCCCGGTGAAATGGGGTTGGTCTTTGGATAAGATGCAGTGGTACAGGGTGGAGGCATGGCAACCAGGCGTATCCTGGGTTAATACTTGAGTGGACTAGGCTGACTTCCAAATAAAATCTTTTCTCCTTTTGTCTGGACATCAGGTAGCCTTCTGTTCTTTGCACTCCTACTGTATCACCAAAAGCTAAGACAAGGTCAAGCTGTGTACTACTCTAGTTACAAGATCACCTGGATCACTTTCATTGCCTACTTAAATGTCTTCTGCTTTATTTCCTCTGGTGAGTCTCCAGGGCCCTAGAGGATAGAAAAAAGGATGGTGATGGGGGTGGGGGTGAGGTGTGGGTGGTTGGAGAAGTCCAATCCCTGCATTTTCAGTCACTAAAGTTCAAGTAGACTTAGCCTTCAAGGGCCGTTCCTACAAGGACAGTTGGAGTTTGAGACTGTATGAAATGGCCAATATGCCTTCCTTGTAAGGTGGCTTCTCATCTCCACCTTTTCTGTGCCTTTGATATAGTCTCTTCCTTGGGTACAGATTATCAGCAAAGCCACGACTGGGGAGAGTGACTGAAATAGGATGCTTACTGAGTGGACCAGAGTGGTGCCCCTGGGTGTACACACAGTATGAGGTCAGAGAGGCGACATATGATGTTAAATATCCACCCACCAGCACTGGACACCCTCCTTTACTAAGACTTTATATTCATTTAAAATTGCACTAAGTCAGGATGATGATGTCCTCTTTCCAAAAGAATCCTTAATTTAATTGAGTGGAGCAGCATTTATGCTATTCTGGATACACTCCTAGGCTTTTACCCTAAAGAATCTCCCTTCCCCTCAGTAGCCTGGGGCAGTTTGTAGGGATCCTCGATGCTGTGGGCTAGGGTTTTTCTGCCAATACACAGGGAAATGTGATTTTTTAATTGATTCTTTATTGCCCTACCCTGACTTCTCTTTCCCCCAGGATTCCTGTCTCTTTTATCACAATCCCATAGTTGTTCCTGTCTGAATATCATCCGTCTCTGTCCCATAAAACATCTGGATGCACAGCCATCTGAGATTGCTGTGAAACCTGTGTCCTTACCAGAACGCACTGCAATGCCTCGTAGTATTGTCCGTTCTCACTGCAGGGAAGATTCTCTAAACAAACCACACAGTCAAACCCGTCGTGTAACCTGGGCTTTATGACCTGACACATCTTTCAGCATGTGCTTATCTTAACGGAAATAGTTTGTGTATGTGTGCTCTATGTATCACCAACTTTATGTTTCTGTTTGACATATGTAAATGGGCTAGGACTGAGATGGGCTCTTGACAGTCTAGGAGATAGCTGTTTTATTTGTGTCCTGGCCTGCTGAACAGTTTCTTTCACAACATTTATTATTAATATAATAAATATTATCATATAATGATTACTTGCTATATTGTTCGCTCTGTATATTACAAGATTTAGAATAATATGTAATAGCTTTTGTTTGTTTTATTGTGAAAATTTCAAATACACAAAAGGAAGACACAACAATATGATAAACACCTGTGTACACATCACCCACCTTGATAAAATTTTATGATCATGCCCTCTTTGCTTGAAATGTTTTAAAATTAATTTTAGACATAATTGATGCCGTGCTAAAAAATTTCATAATTTCATTTCCCTCCCTTGTTTATCATCAGGATATACTTTTGATAATGCATTGCTGATCATTTTATTAGTCTTTTTTTTTTTTTTTAAAGATTTTTATTTATTTGTTCATACAGAACTGGGGTACAGGCCAGAGGCTCAGGGGCGGTGAGAGGCTTCACCAGAGACAGAGCGGGGAGCAGAACAGGCAGATCGACGAAGTACACTGCTGAGGGAAGCAGCGGGCGGGTCAGGAGAGGTCTGGCTCGCCATGTGGTCTCCTCCGGGGCAGGCAGCAGGCGGGAATCGAACTCATGCGGAAGTGGCTTCAGATTCTCAGTGCTGTGCTTTAACCCGCTGCGCCACCAGGGAGGGCCTTATTAGTCATTTTTATTAGACATGTATACATTTATAAAAATTATAACAATTAGCTTTTCGCTGTTCAAAGATTATTAAATGTCAGAATGTACAAATCATTTTTTGCAACCCACTTTGATCACTCAACTTTATAATTAATAATTCTGCTTTACTTCATAGAAACTACTATTAAGCTTTCCATTGTAGAGATATAATGAAAATATTTATTCTCCAGTGGATGGAAATGTAATTATTTCCTTTTATTCTGTTATAAATAATATGAACATTCTTACACACAACTCCCTCTTCCCATGAGATAGATTCTCTAGGGCCTTTTTCTGGGACTAGAATAAGTGGATCAGAAAGTATATTCATTTGAAATTACCTTTATATTGACAAAATTATCCAAAGTATGGTTGGACCAATGAATAGTCCTGCCAGCAATGAATGAGAGTTCCAGTTTGTGATTTGCTAACACTTGTACCATCAGTCTTTTGAATCTGACAATTTTAACTGTCACTGAATTTATGTATTTGGTCACTTCATTATTGAGTTTTTGAATTTCCTATTCTGTGAATTACTGTTTGACCTTTTTTTCCTAATAGATTTCTTCTTACAGATTTCTAGTTCTCTTATATTGGAAACTAGTGCTGACTGGTTATTCCTTAGCTTTTGACTTTGCTTATGAAAGACTCTTTTAAAATAGAAGTATTCCAGTACAATGTAATTCATCAATATTTTCCCTTTCAGTTGGTATTTTATTGTGTCTTACTTAATAATCACTTTTCTGCTCTTTTTGTCCCCAATTGGAAATAATCTTTGTGAATTTTATAAGGCTTACATCCAATTTCATATAATTTATGTGGATAACTACTTACCCAGAACATTTTCTGGCTTGATGCCTTTTTGTATTGATTTGTATGGAAGCCTCTACCACATGTGAGTGACTTTCTGATCTCTGATATATCCCATTGATCTATTTTTCTCTCCTTGCACCATACTAAAATCATGGTTATTTTGTAATAAAAAATTGTTGATGTTTAATAGACCCAAGGCCTTGTTTGTTCAAAATTATCTTGATTGATTCTTTACATTTTGTTCTCCAAATAAATAGCAGAATTAGCTTGTATTGTCGTACAGTGCCCAATTAAAATTTCATTCAGAATTGCATTATTTATTTATATATTTTTACAACATTCTTCATTTTCTGTACAGTGTTTGATTTCTCCTTTTAGGTGTTGTCCCTTAAAATTACCACCACCAAGTTACCCAAGAACCATCATCATCAATTCCATGTTCTTCCCTCTCATTCTGATCCGTCCCCCCTTCACTGATGAAATGTCTGCAATGTATAGTTTAACTACTGGTTTTGTCTTTTTTTTCTTGATCCCTTGTATGGTTTCCTTTGTTCCCTATGAAACCATCCAATATTTTTCTTTTACCTTCTGACTTACTTCACTGTGCATTATCCCTTCCAGCTCCATCCATGTTACTGTGAATGACATGAATTTATCTTTTTTGATTGCTAAGTAGTATTCCATTGTGTATGGAATACACATCTTCTTGAGTTAGTCACTGTTTTGGGGTCACTTACATTGTTTCCACATTGTACCTATTGGAAATAGTGCTGTGATGAACATAGGAGTGCAAGTCTTGAATTAATATTTTTATGTTTGTTTGATAGATTCCTAGGAGTGGAAGTACTGGATCATATGATAGGTTAATTTTTAGTAAGTTGAGGGTCTTTCACATGGCTTTCCATAGTGACTAGTTTGTATTCAGAATTGCTTTAATTCATTAACTAACTTTGGTGGTGTCTATATATTTATCCAATCCACAATATAATAATAATATTTGTTTAGGTTTTCTTTTATGCCCTTCAATGTGATCTATGTCCCAGGGAGGTCTTTTGGCAGTTGATCATAGAGGACTTACTTGTAGTTTTATGCTTTTGTGAATTGGAATATTTTATAATATTTTCTGGTTATTTTTAACATGTAAAGTTATTGATTTTTAAAAATTATTTTTTAATTTGGTTTTTGTATCTGGAACTTTAGCATACTATTATTTTAATTCTAATAATTTCTCTGTATATTCTCGTAGATGATCCTTGGAGGACAACCTATTATCTATAGAATATTTTCTTCTAGTACTTATGTTACCTCCTTATTTTTGTTGTTGCTGTTCTATTCATTGACTCATACAGCTAAGATAAGGTTAAATGGAGTGGGGGGAAACAGTTATTCTTTCCTTGCTCTTTATTTTAATGAAAATGCCTCTAATTCTAATAGTTGCTATACACACTGTTGAATCTTGCACATTTCCATCAAAATTCAAGGACTCCCCCTTATTTACATAACTTACCAAAAGTAAATATTTATTTTATTGCATATTAATGCACTTATCAACATATCAATATATAGTCCAAATGTAGAATGTATCTCATAAATTATATGTGCCGATTTTTCTGTATCTTACTGTGAAATATTTTAAAGATATGTAAAGCCAGAGACAATATAATAACCATCTGTGCACTTATTGCCTGACTTTAAAAGGCCACAGTCTGTAGGGCCCTCCCTGGTGACACAACAGGTTAGTACATAGCACTGCAAGCTGGCCACAGCCCATTCAGTGTGTGTTCAATCCTCGCCCCTCTAACTTTCCCATCACTATCTCCTGGCAGTGCTAACCATTTCTGTATCTCTGTGATTTTCAGAGTATTATACAAATGAAATTCCATTTGTATAATTAAAAAAGAATTCTGTTTTACTTTTTTAGATTTTTTGATTTTCTCTTTGGAGACAAATATTTTTGTTTCTACAAAAACATAACTTACCATAGTCTATGCTGTGGATATCTTACTAATTTGAGTGGAGTATAGAATAGAACCTCCCCTTAAGCTCTTTACCTTTCCCCATTTATACTATTAAAATTAATAAAAATAAATATTAAACTATTTCTTCTAAATATATTGAGAACTACAATAAGTAATTTTGTTTCTTCAAATGTCAAATATATTATTAGTCTTTTAAATTTCAGCTATTCTCATAGGTGGCTTGCATTTTATCTTATTTAATTTCAATTTGCATTTTCTTTATTAGTAATTTAGAGAATATCATGGCCCTATTAGAAATTTATTAATTTTTGGCAAAACATTTTTTGGCATTTTATTATCACAGACAGAGTTTTTATGTTCACATGCCATGTTCTTTTATATCTGAAATTGTTTTTTAATTAAAAAATATTTTGGCTTTGTGCTATAGTTTCCTTCTGCTTCATTGGCTGTGTTTGCATATGAGTGTATGTATATATCATATGCAAAGAATTTTTGTTTCTCTAATTTCTTTCAAATTTATGGCATTTTGTGTTGCTACTCTAGTTTGACTTCTTTTTTGATGTTGAAATTTCTACCAATAAGGAGTCAAACTAGTTATGCAGAAAGTAAGAGAAAGGTTTGTGTTATTTCTCTGGCCTCTGTTCAGGAACTTTTTAATGTTAGGTGTCTTTTTCTGTGTAGTATCTAAATGTATGATAAGGAGACCCTTCCATGACCTCAACAAGAATTTAGTTTGAACCACTAGTGAGGCATAAGTTGTATTTCTGGTACTGAAATATCTATGACTGAATAAGGACATAAATATCTCTGACAAGAACCTAATAAGCAGAATATGTAAAGAATTTCTGTGCATAAAAGAAAGATTGTCCAGTAGAAAGCAGCACAGTATACACCAAGCAGGCCAAGCAATGAGAATATCCAAATGGTCAATAAACATGAGAAGGCACTCAACCTCATTCATCATCATGAAATAAATAGAATGTTAAGCAGTGTGATGGGAATAAACTCAAAATAGAATTATGGAACAAAGACTTGATTTATTATTACTACCTGTATCATTTAAACAACTTCTAAATGCTAGAGTAACTTTACGGCCTTTGGAAATAAAATATCCCCTAAGTTGTACTTATAAATAGTTGTCAGAATGGAAGAGATGGAGAAATGCAGAGAATTGAAAAGGAATCTTAGTAAAAGTGTGTAAATTATTGCAAAAGGTGCTATAAAGTAGTTAAAAAACAAAAGACCTGAATTACAGGTTCATTCTATCAGCTAACCAGCCCCCTCCCCCATGATCAAGTAATTTGATTCTTTTGAGTCTTAAATAAAGTTAAAACATTTTATTTGATCACTCTCACTGTCTCTACCAATAACTTT